TGGAGCCCAGCAGGTCGAGGCTCCGGTGGCCGGGAGCGGCCACTGCACTTCAGTCTGGGTGACAGAGTGAGACTCCAATTCAAAAAAAAAAAAAAAAATCAAAAAAAAAAATTAGGCGGGTGTGGTAGCGCACGCCTGTAGTTCCAGCTACTTGGAAGGCTGAGGCAGAAGGATCGCTGGAGTCCAGGAGGTCGAGGCTGCGGTGGCTGAGAGTGTCCACTGCACTCCAGTCTGGGCGACAGAGTGAGACTCCAACTCAAAAAGAGTTGTTTTGTCACCACATAACTGCGAGATCCTTGAAAGCAGGATTAAGTCATAGACCATGGGGAGTACCAGCAAGTGGAACACAGCAGGGTTGAGAAGGTCATGATGGTCTAATCCTACAGACTAAGAGAATTTTGGGTAAAAGCAAATCAAGTGCTTGCTCTTTACCTTCCAGAAAATAGTTATTCTATTTTTACTAGCCTTGAAATCCCACCAAGTGCCTAAAGGCCTCTGTACGAGCTACTAAGAAACATCATGGTGAGACTTTGATTAATCAAGGGATAATAGATTTCATGGCCATTTCCATAATCCAAAGAGAAAAGAAAAGGACAAGGTAATATTGTGATCATAAAGCATGATTAGAAGCAAAGTCAGGCTTGCAGTCCCATCACTGTCACTGCCTAGCTGGGCGACTCTAGGCACTTTGCTTAATCTCTCTGAGGCCTTGGTATGAAATGGAAAAATATTTACTATGCTGAGGGGGACAAAATGAGGTAATGAAGATAAAGGATCCAAGACAACTCATGACACAGAAGCCACCCATAAACCCTGATGTCAGGTCTTGGGTGTCAGGTTCAAGAATAAAGAACCGTGCAGGAGAGTTGGGTAGGGAGCTTTTTGCTCACTTTTGCTTATCTGCTTGGCAGGTTTGAAGGGTGAGATGAGTTAAAAGAGAAGGATATTTTAGGGCCTCAGTGAGCAGCAAAATCAAAGCAAAATTCCTCAGTGGGCCCCTGAAGAGCAGGACAGGCATCGAAGAGATAACACAGGCAGGAGAGGGAATCCCTCTCAGGGACAGGAGAAGACGGGACCTTTGAGAAAAGGGGAGAAGAGGAAAAAGCAAGGCGAGCCCAAGTGGGGACGAGGACGAGGCCCCCGGGCGTGCCGGAGGCTGAGGGAGTCTGACCGCCGTGTCGCAGGGACAGAGGTGTGTCGGGGTCTGGCCGTTCAAGCCAGAAAGTCTTCTTGCTGGAGTCTTTGAGGTTAATGACTGGCAGTACACACCAAGGATCGATATACAACTGAAGTACACTACTATCTATGACAGCAACATATCAGAAACAGCATAAATGTCCCAAAAGGGCGATGCTTAAGTAAATCACAACCGAATGCTTTTTAGCTTAGAGAAATACACTACTATAGAGTGTAAAAAAGGATAACAAATTATACCGACAGCACAACTCCAAATTTGTTAAATAAAAAGAATGAAAAGAAATACACTGAAACGTATTCAGATCAGCTGGCAGAACACGGTCTTGGCTTTTTCACACACTTCATGACTGAGTTTCTCCCATGACATATGTTCCTTGTACAAAGCAAACACACACTGGGTGAGCCCTACGGCGATGAGGGGCACTCGAGCCGCCTCTGCTGCTCTGTCTTCCACCACAGCCCTGCTCTGGTTTTTCCGTCAGGCACCAGTGTGGTGTGCACCGTACCCTCTGGGGCAGCACACATGACAGTCTGACAAGGGCTGCTATCTTGCTGTCTGTGAATTGGTTGGTATGAGCCCTATTTGTAACGTGGCCGCGTTAGTCTGAGGAAGCCTTTGCACAAGCGTTCCCTGGGAACAGGGGACTTACCTTCTCAGAAGCAGTGGCAAGTTTAGTTCCACTTGCATCAAAAGCCAGCGCCGCTAAAGGACTGTCATGCGCTGGGATCATGTTCGCAGCTCTCTGAAAAGGAGACACCACCAAACATGACTGCCACACAGTGACAGCCTGGCCCTGTGCTACCGTGTGGTCACAGGCTGAAAACTTCAATAAGCTGTTACTAAAATCACATTACGATCAATACAAACACCAAACCCACTTGATTTACTGGGGCGGGCCCAAGGAAATGCTTCAACTTTAGAAAAAGCAGTGCAATGTACCCATGAAGTTTCTACATTCCTCCCAACACTTCCGCTGCTAGGACCCAGCCTGCGTGAGCACACAGGAGCACATCCGGAGACAGGGGCAGCCAGCCTGCTCTGCCGTCCACAGAGAGTCACAGCAGGACTGCTGAGCCGAGGTCAGGATGCCAAAGGCGCCGCAGTGCTCATCCTCAGAAAAAAGCTTTATTTTCAAGAGCCATCCAAGTAGAAAAAGAGCCTTACCAGATTAATAGTGTCGAAGACCTGCACCTCTCCGATGCTGGCGCTCCCCGGGTATGCCAAGTAGCAATTGTCATTGTTTATGGATAGCGCACACAAGCCTGTCAATCACACAAGGGGACAAGGGGCAAAGTTAGGTCTCAGAAGATTTCTGACATAAGGAAGCATTTATTTGACAAAGCACGTGGAAATAAAAAATAGCAGACACAACCTTGTCCCCTGTACTTTTTAAAAGTTCTGTGCCCTCAAATCCCTAGTTTAGGTGATACAGTATTCTAAACAGATGAAAGGACTTTGGTTTGAATGTAACTTCAAAGTTAAAAGTTGATCAAACCAATGAGTTTATATGGTCAACAAGACCGGTATCAGTAGTAAGGAAGCTTGGCTTAAGATCAGTGCTTTTAAAATCTGTCTCATCTGTGGAACCTATAAGAAAAACATGTCTCTCACCTGTAGCTATTTTTAAAAGGCAAAGTCAGAACAACGAGTTCTCTTCTCACAAATTACTTTACCTGCTGGGTTTGGAGGCGTCTCTCTGATGGTATGCAGGACCTTCATGTCCCGGATGTTGTGGATATACAGAGACTCTTCCAGGCACACTATCAGCCTCTAGAAGAGAGACAGAGAGCAGAGAAAGTCAAACATGGAGCAACGCCCAGGACGACGTGCGTCAATCCTCACCTAAACAACTCCTGGATCACGATGCTGAGTTCCTTCTGGAACACCACACAGACCAGGCGCGCAAGGCCTGGAGGACCGGCGGGTTTCCACTCCCAACCAAGTGGGGTCGGAGCTCGGTGTGCCTGCCCATGATACTTATGCCAGCAGTGCTAGGAATCCCCACCAGTAGACTCAATTCACATCACATATGCTGAGAAGCTACAGCTAAGAAAAGTGTGCTTGAGGCCAGGAGTTGTGGCTCACACCTATGATCCCAGTACATTGGGAGGCTGACGCAAGAGGACGGCTTGAGCCTAGGAGTTCAAGATCAGCTGGGGCCACATAGTGAAACTTCATCTCTACAAAAAAAAATCAAAAAATTAGCTGGGCCTGCTGGTGGTGCAACTGTAGTTCCAGCTACACGGACAGCTGAGGCAAAGGATCACTTGAGTCCAGAAGGTTGAGGCTGCCGTGAACTGTGATTGTGCCACTGCACTCCAACCTGGGTGACAGAGTGAGACAAGGAAGGAAAGAAAAAGTGTACTTGGGATAGATATGATAAATGTAAGTTGCTTCTGACAGGATCCCTACCTATCACCATATACAAAAATCAACTCTAAATGGATCAAAGACCTAAATGTAAAACCTCAAACTATAAGAACCTAAGAAAATACAGGAGACACCCTTATGGAAATTGGAACTGGCAGTCAATTCCTTTTCAAAACCCTAACTACCATACCATAAGAAATAAGATAGACAAGTAGGACCTCATCAAACCGATGAGCTTCTGTAAAACCAACAAAACCATCAAGAGAGCAGGGAGACTGCCCACACACTGGGAAAAAATATCTGCCAGTTGTATATCTGACAAAGGCCTAACATTCAGGATCTACAGGGAACTGAAAAAAACAAACAGTCCCATTAAAAAGTGGGCAAAAGACATGAATAGACACTTCTCAAAAGAAGATACACAGGCAGCCAACAGACACATGAAAAAGCACTCAGCCTCACTCATCATCAGTGAAATGCAAATAGAAACCACACTGAGATACTACCTAACCCCAGTAAGAATGGCCATCATTAACAAAACAAACAACAACAGATGCTGGTGAGGATGTGGAGAAAAAGGAACATGCTGGTGGGAATGCAAACTAGTGCAACCTCTTTGGAAGACAGTGTGGCGACTTCTGAAAGAACTAGAAATTGACCTTCCATATGACCCAGCTGGGAATATACCAGAGGGATGCAAATCATTCTACAAAAAAGATACCTGCACACCCATGTTTGTTGCAGCTCTATTCACAAAGCAAAAACATGGGACCAACAATGCTGCCCTTCAAAGCTGGACTAGATTAAAAAAAAAGTGGTACATATACACAATGAAATGTTAGGCAGCTATAAAGAAGGACAAACATATGGACTTTGCAGCAACTTGGATGGATTCAGAGTCGATCATACTCAGTGATCTATCACAGAAACAAATGCATATGTTCTCACTTATAAGTGGACCTTTAACAATTATCATAATACTATAAGAAAGGGATTGGCAGTAGTAGAAAACTGCTGGGGGGGACTGGTAGTTGAGGGAGATTGCCAGGGAAAGGAGGGGCACATGTCATCAACAAGGGTAGCTGCATAATGGTCATCTGTATACCTAACTCTGAATTGTACCCCACATCTTTAAAATAAAATAAAATTACATTAAATTAAAAAAGGGTAAGTTGATTCTGAAAACTGATGTTGAATGAGGTACAGGTAAGATGAAAATTTTTTTAAAAGTCTAAGAATTTTTTAAAAGGTATAACTTTATTCTGTACTCAGATTATTCTGCAAGTTCTTGTCCTGCTTTGAAGAAAATGGATGTAGACTTTTGTGTGCATTTCTATGTTTCAAATTTTAAAAACATGCGAGACGCGACCACTTCCCATTTTAACCAGCTCTGTCAGCCACAGGCCAAGTCCCAGTTCAACTGTGGAAGATAAGAGGGCCTCCTTGCTGGGCTTGGCGGCTCAGCCTGTCATCCCGCGCCTTGGGAGGCCATGGTGAGTGGATGCCTGAGCCCGCGGGTTCGAGACCCGCCTGGGCAACTTGGCGAGGCCTCATCTCTACAATAAATCAAAAAATCAGCTGGGCGTGGTCGCGCATGCCTGTAATTCCGGCTACTCGGAAGGCGGAGGCAGAAGGATCGCCGGAGCCCAGCAGGCGAGGCTGTGGGGCCGGGAGCGGCCACTGCACTCCAGTCTGGGCGACAGAGTGAGATTCCAACTCAGTCCAGTCCCGCGTCTCAGGATGCCACTTCCTAGCTGTTGCAGTGCACCTTCGACACCTGTCAGCCTTCCCCACACTGGACACTACCGTAAGCCGAGATGCTGAAGGTGCTCACAGGCGGTGCGGCTATCCTGGAGCCGGCACAAGCCAGGGACAATCTCAGGACATAAAGTCCAGTGCTATTCACCAAGCACGTTCTCGGCATCAGGTGTTCTTATTAAGTTTCAGGGATGGTACAGAAAGTAATATATCCTTCATCTCAAAATAAAAGTAAAATCCACAACTAAAAATAGAAAAAAAAAGTCTAAACAGATTTTTTTAAAGTAATATTCATAAAAGCCTAAGAAGGTAATTCATAAAATATACAAAAACAATGCTACCACCCCTCCCCTCGGGGGAACACATGACACCCACATGGGAACAGTGTGGCTGAGCACCCTCATCAGGAATGGTGTGCTTCCAGCAAAGCTGATGAGATGAGAACAGAGCAGAGTTGGCTGGCGGAGTGAAAAAGAAAAGGAGCAGGGACAAGGTGGCAGGGGAATGGCAGAGGCCAAGGGGCTGGGAGGTGGCCACGTGAGCCGGTCACTCACCTGCCGGTTGAGCTTCACAGCCAGGATGGTGTTGGAGTAACTATAGTTGCAGATCTCTGTTCCCTTCTTAAAGTGGCAAACCTTCAGCTTCCTTGGGGCTTTGAGGCTCACAATGGCCACTAAGCTGCTGGAGAACAACCTTTCCACAATGCACACGTCTTCGGTGTCAGCTGAAATCAGAAAAGGACACATGAGCACATACACATCTCCATGGGAACGGGCAGAATCCGTTCTCACATCAAACGTGTGCCTGAGCGACACGTGGAGCAGAGTGCCCTGGGCTGCCCGGGGCATTTGGGCACATCAGAGCCATGCAGGACAGCCCCAGGCAGCAGGCTCTGATAATTGAAGCCTCAGGAATGTCTCTGCTATAAATAAAGATGGCTCTATGTGAAAATTCACATGGAAGAACAATGACAGAGTGACTTGAAAGGATTTCTTTGAGTAAAATCTGATGCTAGATTCAAATGATGTGACTTGAAAACATACTTGTCAGTTTAGGAACCTATAAGATCTAAGGGCCCGCTTTATTATGACACAACTGATGTGCTGAGCACTAGCCCCGTATGAACACACTGCTTGATGCTGACTAAGAGTCACCCATATCCAAAGTGGCATAACACAGACTTAAAAAAAGATTTGGCTATTATGATCACATGTCGCTCAGCACAGGGCATACATTCTGAGAAAGGTATCGTGAGGCGATTTCATTGCTGTGCAAACCTCACAGGATGCATTTACACACACCGAGATGGTCTAGCCTACTGCCCCCAGGCTGCACGCCTGGATAGCATGTGGCTGTACTCAACACTGTGGACAACTGTAACACAGCAGTAAGCATTCGCGTACTATAACAGCTAAACATGGAAAAGGTGCAGTAAACATATGGTGCGATAACTTCTAGAACCACAGCTGCATATGCAGTGGCGTTGACTGAAACATCATCATACGGCACATGACCGTATTCAGGACGGACAGGCAGGAACACAGAGCACATCACTCTAAGCTCCTTAGAGCAGCTTGTTTGCAGTTACTTTTACCTAGTCAGTGGGTATAAAGCGTCTTTCCTACAGCAGCGAGCAGCCTTTATTCAAAAGACACAAATGCACGCGACTGCCACGACTGCGGAGATGCCAGAGGCAGCTTCCCTGCCTGCCAGCACCTCACGCTAAGTGCCAATCCCTCCAGGGCTTGACTCTCCGCACAGGGCACACTCAGGAGGGACCCTGCTCGCTCGCATGCACAAGCAGGGACTTCTGCATGTGTCTGTCAACAGAGGCATCTCTCTCTATCTAGCTCTGGGACACTGCAGTGCCTGGACACCAGGCCAAAAACTCAGATGAAGCGATGCCTCACCAGGATGTCAATTATCTACAGTGAAAACAACTTCCTTAAAGACCAGCCCCTTGTGCTCTCTGATCAGTCCTCTCTCCTTCAGAGATGGATGTGGATACCAAGTCATGACGAGAACTGTGCTTGGTGAGCAGAGCATCAGGAGAGCTGGGAAGAACATCTCCATAGCGGTGCCCTGCAGGTGCCACCCACATCTCTACAATCAAGGGGCCAGCCGCACAAGCCCAGCGGCACAAGGCCTTCCTTATCACTGCCTAGCCTCTTACTCTTCAGGTCCTCGTGCTAGGCTGCTAAGTGTTTGGGGCTGCACGTCCTCGCTCAGGTGCATCCCACCCTTGTCATCTCTAGTCGTCACGATTACTACTGAGCATCTGAGCGATGGTTTAACCACAGAGTTCCCTGCTAGGCTGACAGGCCAAGGACAGGTGCTATGCCTGTCCTGTTCACAGCTGTGCCCCAGGGACTGATGTCACCTGGCACCGAGGAGGGGCTACTCACACACTGACTGGCTGAACAGCTGAAAATGGACCTTATGACTAGATTCTGGATATGCCCCCAAACTCTTCAAGACACTATTTAATAAAACCAATCTCTCATATTGTGTCACATCTGAAAATGAGCTAATCTCATTTGTGACATCCAGTTTCAGTGGTGCAGTGCTGCTAACCCCCAAGCGCTACATCTAAGTAGCAAAACTGCTCTTGGTAAAATTCCACCAGGCGTGTGCCACGGCGCTGCACACCTTGGTATGCAGCCCGGGATATGATGGTGGCCCAGAGAGGTACGCCCTTCAGGAAAACCAGTTTAAAAATCAGATTCTGGTCTTGGCTCGGTATAATTAGTTATAAGACCTGGCATCCATGTCTTTAGTGGCGAAATAAGAGTTGGAGTTAGAAGTTCATTAACTCTCAGCCTGGGACATACAGGAGAACCTAGCATACACAAAACTGGTTTCCTACCAAATAAGCGAATCTTACTTCAATCCACTGGCCCCCTGAAAAGCACGTATTTCCAACAGAGTGGGATCTCCATTATCCAGAGTCTGTATCTGTCAATCTGCTCACTGCTGAAGTCTACTTAGGACCCCAGCATGCAGTGCGTTTGCAGCCGCTGTGGACACACGAGTGGCAAAAAGTTTGAGTCACAGGGTGCACACACTCCCAGCCGAGGCCACAACAGGCCATCTTTTCCTGCCTTCTTGTTTCAGTTCTCATGCTAAAAACAACTGACCCTTTCACAATCTACTTAGAGCAATTTAGTGTCTAGCTTTCGCATTTTTGTGCTTTTTGCTGGTGATTGTGCTGCTGGCCCCCACACGTAGAGCGAGTGCTGTTTAGTATGATTAAGCGCAGGAAGGTTCTGACATGCCTGACAGAAAAAACATGTTAGAGAAGCTTTGTTCAGGCCTGCACATTACTGCTGTTGCCACGAGTTCAACGTTAATGAGTCAACAAGAGATTAAACAAGGTGTCTTTAAACAAACACATAAGACAAAGTTATATACCGATCAGTTGATGAAAACGTTGTGACCAGAAAGGCTCAAGGGAATCTAACCTTCTATCTCCCCAAGGAGCAATGGTTTAGAACTCGCTAATCCAGTGTTCCCAGGGACTGTACAGACTACAACTACTACGAAAAATGGGAATCGACTGTATTATTATTATTATTTTTATTGAGTTGGAGTCTCATTTCTTCACCCAGGCTGTAGTGCAGTGGCACACACACTCACGGCCACCCCAGTGGTGACCTGCCTGGCTCCAGCAATCCTTCTACCTCAACCTTCTGAGGAGCCGGAACTACAGACGTGTGCTACCACGCCCGACTATTTTTTATTTTATTTTAGAGACAAGGTCTCGCCAAGTTGCCCTGGCTGGTCTCGAACCTACGGGCTCAGGCAATCCACTCTGGGAACCTGGAGCTTATCTGGAGAACTTGACAAACTACGATGAAGATGTGGAGGCAGAACAGCTGAAATGGGAAAGGGACGTGAAGACATGGAAAAAGACATCAGGCAACCATCTGGAGAAGTTGTTATGGTGAAGCAGACACATGGAGCGGGGCTGGAGGGCCATGTATGGCCAAGGGAAATTTCTGTTTCTAAAGATAAACAGAAGCTACTAGATATACTGATGAAGAAACTGCTAATGGAGCAGGCACGATAACTGAAGAAACGGACCACTTAATAAGATGGAAATTGATGCAATCTAGTAGGAAGATTGGCTGTATTTCATTTCATCATTTTTTGAAACAGGGTCTCCCTCTGTTGCCCAGGCTGGAGTGCAGTGGCACAAACATGGCTCACTGCAGCCTTGAACTGGGCTCAAACGATTCTCCTGCCTCGTCCTCCCCCAAGTAGCTGAGACTACAGGCTAATTTTTCTATTTTTTGTAGAGATGGATCTCGCTATGTTGCCCGGGCTGTCTTGAACTCCTGGTCTCAAGTGGTCCTCCCGCCCGAGCCTCTCAAAATGTTGGAATCACAAGCATGAGCCACCATGCCCAGCTAGGAATGGTTTTAAGAAGAAAAGAGCCCCCTTTCTCCACTTGAACAGAAGAGGAAATGGGGACAGATGTGGGTGGGTCGTCACCTGAAGGAGAAAAGAGAAGGAGATTCCACGAAAGAGCATCAGCTTTTCTCTAAAGTAGGAGTAGGTATTCGCTTTAAGAGGATCGAGGTGGGGGTTGAACGAGTCAGGATGGATGAAACAATCATCTCAGGAAGTGAGCAAGTACAGCTATTAGAAAAATGCAAGACTACCTGCAGCCACTGGCAAGTCTCCATCTGAAGTGGTAACACATTTCAATTCAACCTGTTAGAGAAAACCCGTATCAATCCAATAGGTGCAGAACATTTATAAATCGACAGCTGACACTCTACTTAACTGTGAAAAGACTAGAAACAAGGCAAGAATGCTGCCTCTCCTCACTTTGTGGTGAAGATCTCACACATTGTAATAAAGCAAGAAAAAGAAATAAAAGGCACAAATATCAGAAAGATGTCAAACTGTCTCTACTGCAATCTTAAAGAATCTATAAAGCAACTGTTTAATAAGTGAATTTAGCAGTCATAAGATGCAAGATTAAGATATAAAAATCAATTATATTTTTATAGACTAGCAGAAAACAACTAGAAAGCAAAATAAAACATTTTATTTTATAACACTGTGAAAACCCAAATTAGGAATAAATTAGAAATAATGATTACCAAGACAAATTTAAAAGCAGCTAAATAGAGAAGTATACAACACTCATGGATTGGCTACTAAATAGCTTTACAATATCAACATTCACATTGATCTCTAGGTTCAATCCCATCCCAATCATAATCCTGGCAGGCTTTTTCGTAGACTTTTTGAAAACCAATTTTACAATTTATATGGAAAAGCAAAGGCATTAGGATTTCCGAGGCTATCTTTAAAAGAACAGAGTTGAAGACTGACAAACAGATCAATGGAAGAGGATAAAGAGCCTGAAAATAGACCCACTCATATAGGATTGTAAACATGTGGGAAGAAAAATCTTCCCTACAAATAGTGATGGAATAGGAATCCATAAGGAAAACAATTAACCTTGAGTCATACCTCACAACATACACAAAAATTAATCTGAGATAGATCACCAGCCTAAACATAACAACTTTAGCTTTCATATAGCTTTTAACTATAATGCTTTCCAAGAAAAGATAGGAAAATATCCTCATGACTTGAGGACAGACAAAGGTTTCCTGGACAGGGTACAGAAAGCAAAAAGCATAAATGAACAGAATAGATAAATCAGACTGCATTAAAATTTAAAACATTTGCTCAAAAGACAAGAAA